CTAGCATATTACACTGTACCTTTATAAAATTTGTCAATCCTACCTCTTAAATATGTCTTTATTTATTTATTTATTAGTTGTAGTTGGACACAATACCTTTATTTATTTTTATGTGGTGCTGAGGATCAAACTCACGGCCTTGCATGTATGAGGCAAGTACTCTACCACTGAGCCATAACCCCAGCCCCTTAAATATGTCTTGATTCCTTCCTGCATCCCCACATCACCACTGTTGTATCTTAATTATGCTGGTATCACTTCCCTTGTAATTGGCTTCTCAAATCCATCTTTCTCATTGTATTTTCTAAAATAAGCATCCAAAGTCATTGCTACTTGCTTTAAAATAATAAATATTCTCATTAACCAATTGAAAATACAAAGTCAAGTCTTCTATGAATTACCACAGAAATTCTTAACTCTTCAAACATTGATTTCCCCATTAACTATATTCTGTCATGTATAATCTACCATGTACAGGGAACCTATTTGTATCACCATATGTTAGTGATTCTCAAATCATCTTTGGTGAAGAATGAGTTTAATTTCCAATCAATGGTAGACCATTTTTTAATAAAATATAATAGTGGGTCAACCAAAATTGAGTAACAGAGCTGACTCTGAAACAAAGAGTTTATTTGAAGATAGTAATGGATTATAATATGAATATGCATGCTAGGGCAGATCATAGACACATCTGAGGGAGTTGAGACAATAGGAAACTCTTAAAGATAAAGGAAGTCCATATAAGTTATTCTATAGCAAAGACCATTGAGGACTTGTTGCAGAAGTTGACATTAGCTCATTGGTATAGACAGCCATTGATAGACAAGTGTTCATGTGCAAGCAAATTATCTGAAATTCTGCAGTTTTGTGGAATACCTTGTGAACTTCCTGTCATAGACATACATATGTGAGGGACTTTCCTTTATGGCCTCAGTTCTGTTTCATTAAGACCTAAGTGACTTTATTTTGTTACTGGCAACTTTCACAAATGTCACAAAATGTTTAATTGCTATAAAAGTTTCTAAATGCTTGCTGTCACCCACCTTCTGTATCATGAACCAGTAATAGGTTGCAGACTACCACTAAGGACAGACCAAATTTGGATTAGTATCTCTCTATTCTGCATTCTAAATGGTTTTCTCAGGTATAGTTTCTAATTTTCTAATCCTATTACATTTTTAATGACAAAAATTAATCTCCATAACATATATTTATATTAGGTTCTTTTCCATTTCTTCCCTTCTATTACGGTATTCTGTTTTTTTT